GCGTAGAGTTTTCATATGGCAGCGTTTTTGTAATAAAGTTTGTGTTATTTATATTTTAATGAGTCTGAACCACGCATGAGTTGAGCCTTGAACCTTGGAGAAAGGAGTCCTTTGAGAGTTTTAATCTAAATATTTTACACATTTTACTTTGTCTTTGACTCAAGCAAAAAAGTATAAAGTTTAAACAGGCATTCAAAAATATCTCGAAAACCGCGAGCGTCTTCTCCATATTTCTTCGGGGAAATCTTCAAGTTTCAATGGCAATTTTGGTTAATCTGGCGCATGCTCAGACAAATTTCCCAGCTGCTATATAAATGTATTCGTTGCTGACCAAATAGTGACCGGCAGATGTTTTAAAGGTTTTGAGTGATCTTGTTATTTCGAACGGCAGACAGAGTATAGTTTTGAGTTATATATAAGAAAAATTATAATAAAATTAAAAGTTCCAGTATTAATAGTCCGACACATCGTTGCATGCCAGCTACCTCGCTATAGATGAATTAAAGACGTTTTTATGTTCTTATATGATTTGGCTTGAATATTATAGTTCATTCTTCTGAAGTCAACGTTTTGTTTGCAGTATTTAAATACATGCGACAATACGTAACCGACAGACGTGACTTAATTATAATCGTCTTCATATTCAGGAAGAAGTTCCCGGATGTATTGCGCATGGTATTATCTGCTCCTAAGAGGACTTATGCACGAATGCAATATCAAAGCGGCGTTTTTTTTCTCGTGTTATATATAAAATAGTCTACCCAGTCTGTACTAACACGATCTTAAATTGGCATTCCCATTGAATACTCAAGAAGGCATTCGCTTTGAAGTTTGATATCAGACATCAGTCAGTGACGTTTTTTCATACTGGAAAAACAAGGAAGAGATAGCTTGTCAGGTACCTTTTGCATATTTGTTGTGAAATTAAACTGCTTTATATGTTGGAGTCTTTGATGCAAATACGAATGCTTCACGCGCGTGATGGAACAAGACCTACATAAACTGATGTTTGTGATGTTACTCAGAGTATGCATCCACACCGGGCAAGCTGAAAAGTTTGCTTGGCCACGGTGGGAATCGAACATGCGACCTTGGGTATACTAGTACAAAGCTCTGCCAACTGAGCTCATGCGTGGTTAAGTCGGTTCGAGTTGTTGATATTTCGGAACCGAATCTATAGTTCCTTCGATATCAGTAATCTATGATATGAGTTTTGTGTGTGTGTGTGTTGGTGTGTTAATTGGTGTTAAAGGAGCAGTGTCACCGCGTGCGCATCTTTTCTGCGCATAACAAAACATGTTCGGAAATTGTCGGAAAAGCGCTCGGAACTATACGCCGCCATTTATATGAGTGGACTGTAAACACTTCAATAAGTCTTCAACATGGTGAGTAAAAATTTACATATATTTACATTTTGCATATATTTACACGGATATAGAGATGTAACCAGTTTACTTCGTTCGATACACGTATAGACAAGCCGTTGCGATTGCAAGAGTTCATGCAGTACCAAAAGAAAGGCAAGTGGGAGTCGAGGATGTCCTTGTAAAGGAAATAGTGTAGAGTGCAATGCTGAGTGTCGGTGTGGTACGACCAAGAAACCTTGCCAAAATAGGGTAAGTCTATTTAAAAATCTGCATTATTATAACCCAATTTTTTTCATACGAAAATTCTGAATTTCCAATGCGGTTTTTGTATAAGATACGGCGAAAAACTCTGAGAGAGAGCGAGACGATCGAAGAGGAAGCCGTGGAACACGTGCGCAAGGCTTTCGGCTCAGCAGTCAGAACTCACAGAATCTAGAAACTGAGGATGCATTGAGAGAGAAGGAACACGAGAATGTAAAGGTAGGTTTGTTTACAGTATATACCTGCTTACATATAAACTGTATGTAGGCTTTAACTAAGGCTTGTAGCTAAATTTTAGGAACAATTAGGTTTTTACGAGCTTTGTTGTATAATGAAACGTTTTGCTTGCATAGAGATGATGCACATTGTGAAAGGTAGTTTTAGTACGATTGTCTTTTAGTAAACTATAATTTTGTCAACCTGATACTCAGGGTTTCGGAAGTGAAAACCCTGAGTATCAGGTTGAAATGTTGTTACCAAATTAATATTTGTTGCATATATTAAAATATTGCAATATAAAATCGCTTTCACTGAACTCCCTTCTAAATATTTCACAGTTGTGCCAACAGCCATGTCAACTAAATGTTTTTGGACTTTATCATTTAACCCATTGAGTCGCATTGCGCCCTACTTTATTATTTTTACTCTGTTATCTTATAAAACCATATAAGTATGTTTAAAATAATAAAGAATTACGATTATAGCTTATTCATATCTCATCTCATTCCCAAGTTATAGCACTTTTTTATATTTCAAGTTATGACATCACTGGTTGTGCTTGAGAAGGAAGCAAATAGGAGAAAGTCTAATATTTCTGAGGTGCTTTGAGAAATGCCTGGTAACTTGGAAATGATATGAATAAACTTAAAGCCATTCGTCACTATTTTGAACATACTCTGAAGTGATGGAATTAAAAATAGGGATAAAATTTCATTTCATAAACACTTTCATCATTTACAGGATTTTATTGGTCGATTGGACGAAACATTGGTGCGAAAGCTTGCCATTCGATGTTTGCGTAGAGGCATTGGTAGCATGGACTACATTGATACGTTGCTGATTATGGAAGATGATCTGGACGAGAATCAGGAGGATGGTGATCTTGGTGAGTTTGGTGAATCATCAATGACAAGGGATGACAACGATGATCCACCTGAGCAAGACTCATCCAGGGAACCCACAGGGGATTCCTCAAATAAAAGTACTGTTAATACACCAGATTGGTGTGTTTGTGGTAGATGTAGACCAATGCCCCAGGAAGTCGAAAACAAGTGCTGCAAATTAAAAAAATGCATAACACTTACTTCGCGTTTTACCAAGTTGTGTCTTGATCCTGATGTTCTGGAGTTATGTATCAGAAATAGAGCAGACATAAGAAATGACCACGAGGACAATAGCACAAGGGCTTTCCGAAAAGCTGCCTACAGGCAATTCATTCTAGCACGCCATGGTCATCTGGGTAAGGGGAACAGACGAGTCTGCCCTTCATGCGTCGTATTAAAAATAAGGGAACGTTTTCCATCTGTCACTGGAATTTACATGGGATTTAGGGAACACTGATATTTTGTATAATATAACTTCATTTTATAGCATATCTAAATATATTTGTAAGCACAATAACAGTTGATATATGTACAGTGTAAAAAGGGAATGGACAAGTATCTGACTATTCTATTATGAATCTGCTCCTCCTCTCAACAATTTCATTTGTAGGTGGTGGTGGTATGTGGGCAATAGTTGGGGAAGTTAGAGCAGGGTCACTTGTGTTCAAATCAATGGCTCTTGTTACACCTCCAACATCATCATCATCCACTCTTCTCTTTAAAATTTTGGAAATGAGCACTGGGATGTAGTCGTATCCTTTCTCAACTTTCACCGCCTTGCAATCCCATTGTCGAGTCCTGGGGTTATACTTTCTTGTAACAATATCACCACCAGATTTTGTTTTGGCCTGGGAAGGTTTATGTGGAAGTTCCAATCTATGGCTGTGAGCTGTCTTCTTGCTTTGTATGCACTGTATCTAAATTAAATCCATTTCATTTTTCAGAACACAGTTAACCTTATATTTAACCCTTTTAAAAGTGGCAATGTGCCCAGATGCACCCTACTTTATTATTTTACTCTGTCTGACGCCATATTATTTTACTCTGTCTAACACCAGACAAGTGTACTTGTCAGGGGGAGAGTGCTCCACTCAATGGGTTAAATCGTTTGTGCACAAAACTATCTAATCCCCATTATTTGATGAATATGCTGGTTTCTAGTATTTTTGCACCAGTGAATATAAGAAATCCAATGTGGATGTGGTATTCCCTTATACTGATGCACCCACAGGTGAATATAAAAATAAATTAATTAAAATAAATTCAGTTCAAACAAACACAAAAGGCTTGTGTAAAATACTAAAACAATTATTTGCCTCAGGCTCAGTGATCGTAGGGGATATTCACCTCCACTTCGTCTCGGTGAATATTCCCTGATAATCACCTCTCATTCGGCAAATATTTATTAAACAGGAGATTGGGATGCATTGCATACAGTATACTAAATAAAAGCTTACCTGAAAGGTGTCCGTTTTGGGGTGTAAACTAAGCCAAGGCTGTTTGCACACTCTATACCACCTGTATGTCTATATAACAAAATGAATTTATTAATAATCATAATCTTTATTGACAGGAAACTTTCTCACCAGCATGATTTTCAGAAAGGTCCTGAAATCAACTTGTCATAAAAATTGATTGTCAACATTTTTTTCTATACCTGAAACAGGTATAGTACTTGAAACTTGCAAGTAACTCGGGATTCAGGATGATCTTTTGCAATTATTGATAGTCTTTATCCCGACGATCAAACCATGGTAGCCTTTCATCATGTTCGTCTTCTTCATGATCACATTGACCTTCCAGCCACTGATGCTCATTACAGATGTGATGCAGTAATCCAATCCATTTGTCCTAAACAAAATCATAATATATACATTAACATTTTACATATACTGTTATAATACAAGAATACCTTCATAACTTTCAGTGCTTCTTCATCAGAGGTTTCATCATCCTGTCTGCATGCACTTGAGCAATGCCAAAAATGCCTGATAATGTGTGCTGCCCAATCCTTCACTTTGTGCATCGCTTTTGGTTTACCCAACTAAATTGATATAAGTCATAAATCAATAACATGTTATGCCAAACTGCACATACATACATACATAGGGGCTACTTAGTCATGGGTTTACAATACTGGGTTTATTATATGAGTATTGAATTTTATACGCGATAAAGTTGTCGAATAAAAACCATATTCCTAAAATTTCTGAGGATCTCATTGGACATACACATTCGCCACTAGTGAAGAACGTCGTATTAGCCTTCTCACTGGACGTACGGAATTTGTCACTAGTGAAAAATTTCGTATTTACTTTCCCGCCGCACCACTGGCGTACAAGAAAACAACAATCAGTTTTTTTAGATGTCCATTCGACTTTTGATTTGAAATGGCTTCACGCTTCGCAGAGACACCATCCATAAGCGAATTCATTGAACAACAGGAGAATAATAATACAAGAATTTTAAAGCGAAATAATTCATTTGTTGTAGCTATTGTTATACTTTTTGATGCATATTATATATGTTTGAAACGTTTGGTTTGAATTGTGTCTATCGTTCAGCACTTAAATTTCACTCTAATATATAATAACTCATATAATAAACAAATTACTTCATGGTTGATTCGCTTGTACGATTTTTATTATGCACTCGTTGCGAAAAATTCCTATAAACTCACTCGTTCGCTCCGCTCACTCGTTCGTTTATAGGAATTTTTCGCAACTCGTGCATAAAAATCGTACGCGCTCATCAACCATGAAGTAATCTCTATTTATCACACACACCAAAGGCTTGACTCATCACATCACAAGGAAACCTTATACTGTACAAACCTTAGCCAGACACTTCTTTATGCTTTTTGATTTATGCCAAACATCCAAGCTATGGATCATGTCTGGGTATTCATTTGCTAAAATAATTAAACAAGAACTTCATGAATGAAATGAATACCATACACCCAATACTCTTTATACAGAACACAGATGCACCAGACTCATTCATGGATGGGTTCGAATGCTTGCATGTAACAGCAAAACTGTAATTTCTCTGTTTTTAAGGGGGCTTTCATTTATTAGAGCATAGGGAGGGGGGGGGGTGATATGATTGCAGGGGATTATGAAGTTTTCAAATGTTCCCAACAGGGTTATATAATACAACAACTGATGTCAGGGAGTTGTCTAAATCAATTTTGGTTTTCTTATATTTATAACTCGTATATATATTTAAGGGGCATGGCAAGGTGAGATGTCTACATGGCCATTACACTGTTGATTTTTCTAAATTTTAAAAACGTAAGACAAACTAAAAATTGAAATGGTCGTTTCCGATGATCTAGATGAGAGAGGGTTACTAAAATTTGACAATGAATGGAGGGGAATTTGAATAAATGAAAACCCCTAACCAAATGAGGTGAATTTCAAAGAATACTGATTATCTTACCAAGAAATGCTTTTATAGATGTAGATGCATCAGTGACCAACTCGACCACTTTCACATCGTCTTGAAGACGAGCCAGGCTTCGCTTCACTGCTTCTTTCTCCATATTTGTTGAGATGAGGCCAACGTGCCTCTTGTCCAAGATTTCAATGTCAAGAATATAACTGGAATTTACCTCTACCATGAAGTAGCATAGATTCTTGGCATTGAAGCCTGGAGAGTCACATTGACCATCACCACCAACAACAACATCCTGGCCTGAAAATTCACTGATGAGTTCTCGCCTCATCCAGCACCACCAGTCATTTATCTGAGGAATCAGATAGAGGCGTTGAAATCGGTAGTAGCTGGACTTGGACAGAAATTCCAGATTTAAAAAATTTGCCAAGCGTGTCATTTTGCATAGTGGCTTCCAGAGTATAATTGAAGCAGCAGTCTGGAGATTGTTGACAAAAATGTTATTGACTTCGCCTGAGGAACAAAACTTGTTCTTATGACGGAATGTACATGTAGAGGTCACAAAGAGAGCCATACCAACAAAGTGGTATTTTACAGTTGGTACAGCAGTACACCCAGGTGTCTGACATCGAGTTTTAAATACCTCAAGAAACAAACTAAGTGTGCAGACAAATTTTCTGTCCTGTGCCATTCTATATTCTTCTTTAATAGCATACATGTCATCTCCTCTACTAAGTTTGCGGTGTGGCCCAAAGGGAATAAGGGAAGTGGGTGTGGCTTGTACCTGCTGCAATGTGGATGAGACATCCACATTATCATCAAAACAGGTCTCATCATCAAAACAGGTCTCGTCATCAGGCATTTCGTACATACCAGCACCTTCATCTGCAGATTCAGTTGAATCGCTATCTATTGTGCTTTCAACATCACTGTATGTGGAACTACAACAAGAAAACCAGATATGACATTTAAAAAAGGTCTTATATGGAATTTGGATGCACATAACTGAAAGTATATCAGTATATCTTTAACAGAAAATCCCTTAATATTTCCTAAACATACAGTATTTACTTGTAAACTTCATCCATTTTGACATTCTAAGGCTTGTATTTAAATGCTGACCGTATAACATAATGGATATATCATACTTTGAATTATTGTCCCTTTCCATGTTTTCATCAGCATTCAATTCCTCAATCACTGACTTGGTAAGGTCATGAAAACTGTAAGTAGAATGAAATTATTTAAAAATAAATATAGACACATTTTAGCTGCTGTAAACAAACTGCATATTTTTTAAAAGTAATAAAACCAGATGTCAATTAAAAATACGACTATAAGTAGTACCTGACATCCTGGTCATCATCACTGTCATCAGTGGTTAACTTGTCATCCGTAAACATTGAAGTGTTCAGCATTTTGGATGAGTCCAGTGGTTCACTACTCAAACTAGATATTTATAAAAATAAATTTTACCCAACATAAATGACAGTTCATTCAGTTGAATAAATCTTTTATATAATATAATTTATGGTGTAGAACTTGAAACATTACTGCATTGAACTTGTTAGTCTGGTGACTGTGCAAACATTAAAACCCTAGGACATGTAGTGATTCCTGAGGTAATCTTCACAATTGCAAATCAAGTAGTCAGCACGCATGTGACTCATGATCTTTGTGAATGTCTCACACTCAGGCGAACCATGAGGATACTTGCGAAACACAACAAGCTTCCATTCCGCAAACGAACAACACCCATCTCTCAACACCAACTCAATCAAATCACCTAAATTGACACAAAAATCAGGAACCTTACCCTTGACGTGTCTATCTATGTATGCCTGGATAGCATCTGGTTTCACTTTGGGATTAGTCTTGACGTCAATCCATTCATCAAACCACGACGGGAGGCGAGTGAGTGGGTGAACGAGTGTTCTAGGAGCAGTCATGATGTATTTATATAAACCAACAGGATTGCGAACCTTCTCGTGGGCATAAAGGACTTTTTTAAACTGACAAGCACGTCGCTGGAGTCGATTATGAATTGCAGTGGAATTGAACATCTTTGAGTTGGGAAAGAACAACATGATATGCATGTGCTTGCCGTAAACTTCGTGACAGGGATCGCCTGCCTCAGAGGCGCCATGATATGTGGTGATGTAATAATAGCCGTCTTCGCCTTCTTTCACCCATTTTTTCCAAGTATCAGCTAAATCAGCATGGACCACAAGTCCTTGTAAATTATACTGATCAGGTTCACCATCACTTAAAGCTTTTTCAGCATTCAAAGAAGCCAAAAGAGCTTGATCTTCAGAGTCAGGTAGAGCGAGCGACGAAACGTTGTAGACGACGGCCATGACTATACTGAATAAGATATGTAAATGTATATGTTTATGTAACCGAGGGATGTAAATTAGAAGCTTACATAACCATATATAGAAGCTTGCATGGTTTCAATTCTGCCTCTCAAATCGGCAACAACAGTGCTAAGTAAATAGCTGCATCTCTAATAAAGGTGAAATCATTTGCGGGGTTCCACAAAGTTCCATACTTGGCCCGTTGTTTTTCCTAATTTATATCAACTATTTACCCAACTGTCTAAAGACAACAACACCCTGTCTATATGCAGATGATACCCAAATTTTCACTTCCTCGTACGATTCTGTTGCGCTGGCTAATGATATTAACTCTGATTTAGAAAATGTCACAGATTGGTTAAATGTAAATAAACTCCAATCCTATCCTTCTAAAGCTAAGCTTATTGTCATAGGATCTAAACAAAATCTAACCAACAAAGTTGTAACGCAATTTCATCTGTTGTCTCGAATAAATGTTTGGGAGTTGACCTTGATGACAGGTTGACTTTTGATATCAATATTGAAGAAATATGCAAGAAGTTCTGTTCAGGCATAGCAGCATTGAGGAGAATTAAACCATTCATTCTGCAGAGTTCTCCTGTTACATTATACAAATCATTAATTCAACCACATTTTGATTATTGCTCTCCCCTGTGGGATACATGTGATAAAATATTAAAAGATAAATTGCAAATAGTGGCTAGAGTTATCACTGAAGCAAAATATTATGATAGGATTAGATCAAGTGATCTTTTGGAAGGTTTAGGATGGGATAATCTACATGTTAGGCAGGCTAAGTTGAAGAGTATCCTTAATTAAAATTGTTCGCCATGTTTAAGAGAAAGCCTTGTAAGACTTAGAGAACTTAATAGAGGCCATAATTTATGAAATCAGGAAACAGATCCAGCACTTCCAAAACCAAAAACTAATTTTTTGAAGCGAAGCTTTAAATATAATGCATCAATGCTGTGGAATAATCTTCCATTAGATGCAAAAAGAGCATCTTCGCTCAGTCAATTTATGCGTAAATAATTTATATATTTTTTTTAATAGGGAGGAGAGAAACAAATATTATGCCCACATTAAGAAGAGCATCTCTAACCCTCATAAATATTTGAGTCTGATTATTGATGGACTGGACCAAGGAAAATCTCATTTACCCCATTTTGTTAAAAAATCGAAGGTTTATAACACATTATCTGACATTTTTCTTAAGATACTATATATATATATATATATATTTTTAATAAAATGATTTGAGATGGTAGATCACTAGCAATATATGTGGCATTTACAGCTATACGAATGGGATCCCTTTAACAGGGTTCCCGAATTATCATTGAAATGAATCAATGACATGTTAATAGTTAGTCCGTTTATTGTTGGTCTGTTGGTCGTCAATGTGCTAGTAATGAGCGAATGATTTCTGCAAAGCAGTTCATTTTCGCCCTGTTAAAATCATAAAATAAAATTCTATAGACATATAATTCACCATTTATAGAATTAAATTTAGTGTAGACATAAGGATTACATATTTATAATTATATATTATATATTTTCATTAAATTAAATGTATGTAAATTGACGATTTAAATTAATTAAATTTAATGGTATGACAAATAATTATAATTACTTAATACAGAATTTCAGATATAATTTCAAATTCTTATGAGTAGCATAAAGTTATGTTTGGGTATTAAAATTATTGTCATGGTTAATGTATAAGGTTGGAGTTAGTAAAGTTGAAAGGGTTCATGGTTAATGTTAGAAGTTAGGGTTATTTTAACAACTTTATTGGTTAATATTTATAAATATGTACAAATACATTTGAAAATAACCAATCGGCAAAGGCGCGAACGGGACTGAAGTACCCATGCGAGGCGCCTTCCCGTTAAAATATAACGTTAAAATAACATAGGTCAACATAAGACTAAAATAGTAAATTATACTGTATGTAAAGCCAATTCTCAATGGCAAGAACAGTCACGAGACAGTGTCCATGTGCACGGGAAGTCTATGTCAAAGGATGCATTGAATAAAGTCAGGTATGTTTGCTTGAGTAATTGTTTAAATGATGAGATGTTGGAAAAGCCATGCACAGGAGCTGATTTGCAAATAGTGTTCCAGAGTTTGACAATCCGGTTGTAAAAGGATGCCTGAAAAGCGTTTGTCTTACAACGTGGAGCTTTCATAACTAAAGGAATCTGGCTGTGTCTGGTGCGGCCATGGCCTATAAATGCAATATATTTATTGACGTTCACGTCGATGTACCCATATAGGGCCTTGTAGAAAAAGGTTAGGTCTTTGATTTCTCTGTCGTAGCATAAAGGCAATAAGTGGAGCAACTGCAATCTTTGGTGGTAAGACATTTCTTTGCCTTTGTAACTGAAGATCCATTTGGTAGCTCGCCTCTGTACTCTTTCAAGCTTGGCTTTGAGCATGTCCTGCGCCGGGGACCAAACTTGGGTAGCATAACATAACTGTGACTTGACAAGAGATAAGTATAATGTCCGTCTCACTTGAATATCAGTTAACAGTGGGCAAGTTCTCTTAAGAAGACCTAATAACTTGTTTGCCTTTGCAACAATTACAGATATGTGATGATGCCAGGTGAGTTTGGAAGATATAGTAACTCCAAGATCTTTCTCTTGCTGAACGCGGGTTAATATGGCAGAACCAAGTTGGTAATCGTAAACCACAGGATTTTGCTTGCGTGTAATGGTGAGAACTTTACATTTTGTGCTGTTGAATTTCATATTGCTCTGCTGGCTCCAGATGTTAATGTTGCTGAGGGCTTGCTGTAAACCCTCGCAGTCAGTCAGAGACGAGATGTTTCGATGTAATTTGGTGTCGTCCGCGAACAGTGCTGTATTGGTACCATTTGGAATAATTTCAGGGAGATCGTTAATGAATATAACAAATAATAAGGGACCCAGTATACTTCCTTGAGGCACCCCGGAGGTAACAGGGACCCACTGGGATACAGCACCGTCGATCACAACCCTTTGAGTTCGACCGTTCAGGTAGTCAGTGAACCAGTCCAGGAGTCGTCCAGCCACGCCGTAGCATTTTAGTTTCTCAACAAGTATTTGATGGTCAACCGAGTCAAATGCTTTGGCAAGATCAAGGTACAAAACATCCGACTGGGTGTTATTGTCAAGATTTTGACCAATGTTGTGAAATACCGAGAGCAGTTGTGTTATACATGAACGCTTTCTCAGAAATCCATGTTGTAGTGGCGAAATTAGTTGAATAACGTCAGCGTACATGTGATTGTAGACGCAGCGTTCCATGACTTTACTCACAATTGATAGCAGGGAAATAGGTCTATAATTTTCGGCTGGTTCTTTGGAGTTTTTCTTGTGGACAGGCGTGACGTTGGCAGATTTCC